GGCAAACACCGGGGGGGGCGGCTTGTTTTACAACGTCGTTGCCAAGCGACGAAAACCCAACCCCGATGGCAAACACCGGGAGGGGGGGGGGTACGTGAACGATTCTTATCTGGTAAACCACTGTTTCGCTCATTCCAGGCCGATTCATTCGCTTTGCCATGTTGATTCGGGTGAAGCTACTGACCAGATAATATCACGCATTGTTGGGCATACGTCGGCACCAGATGGACGTCGTCCAACCTATTTCGGCCCCATCTCGCTCCTTCCTGCTGTCCATGAAAAAAAAAAAAACGCTTGGCTGTGTGAACACCTGAAAAATGATGGTTAGATGTTACTTTTTCCAATATTGGTGAGTAGCTGATGACGTCTTCCGACCTCCATCCTGTTCGTTGTATCGTTACCCCTACCTCCCCTCCCTCAAAGGTATGTTGATCACCTCTCCCCTCCCATCAAGCACCTGAGAGACGTGTTCTTTCCTCATCTGTGAGGCCCCCCGCGATGTCCTCGATAAACTCATCGCTTTTCTCCTGTGCACGTGCACGAGGCGCACGAACAGATGCGTCACACGCAAAAACAACGGACAACACAGATGAGCATCAGCAGGAAAGCACACCGAGACAGAGCACGTCGCTAAGCTGCTGGATGGCTACCTCCCACCCTCCCCCCGAGTTCCGGACGGTGACCTACAGGCTGCGGGTTAAGATATACACTGACTGCGAATATGTGATGTGTGTCGATTATTTCGGGCAAGTACGACACCGGTGGTAGACAATAATTCAATTCCGCGGCACACTCAATAATTCCTCCGCACAACTCGACGTCCGTCTAGCTCAAACACAAAAAAAACATGTCGACGCTTGGTTTGCGGAATATCGAGGTTTGGCTGGGACGAGTTCTAGCCCAGTTGTGCTATGTTTTTTATAGCTCTGAATGGTCGTCCTCTGTAGAGACCCCTTTGCACCCAGCAGGAAAAAAAAGTTCTTCTGATAACAAAACCAAGGGCCTATCTACAAGTGAAGAATATCAGAAATGTACTGCCTGCTTTACTAGGTACTTCAGAAAAATCAAGGACTCCGCACCTGCAAACGAAGGTTGTCGTTGACCATGGCACACAGCCTCTCCAGACCATCCTCTTCGGCGCTGATCCTCCTCCACCCTGCCTCCATCGACATCATGCTGTCCTCCTACGCATAAAAGTCGCAAAAATTTGTTGCGGTTGTGGTTATGGTCTTGATTTTGATGTTGCTGTGTTGCTGTGTTGTTGTTGTTGTTGTTGTTGTAAAATCGTTGACTATTCTGCTGGCCAACACAACAATGACCTTGGCACCAACTCCAAGGCACAAAGAAAAAGCTTGGAAGGTCGTGATTCACTGATCCTCCGTCCAATCATGTTGAGTAGAGATTTTTCCCTGCCCAGTCGAATCGGCGCACTCAATCGCATGCCACGCACACCTCCGGTGAATCACGGCGACCTTCGATCACCACACTCCACGCTACGCATTGCCATTCTCTGCACAAACCACGCTAATGCCGTGGAATTTTCCGCTCCCCAATCCAGACGTGCACATGGTGTGTATATACGTCGATCACTGCGGAAGTGATGACATCGATTGACGGCATGTTCGTGAGGCCCTCACACATGTTTTGCATCACGAGTCTCACCTGAATGTCTTGCAGGACCTCTAGGCAGGCGAGAACCACCGATCCAAGAAAGTTCTCCGGAAGGGTCTTGGCCACGCTGATCTGAAGGCAAGGGACGGGGGGAAACAAAGGGTTGTTTAATCATTGCTGCCACAAGCAGGTGGGACTGCCTCCGGGAAAGAGTTACGTTTACAAGTATCGATGACGTAGAGAGGCAAGGGGTACGCAGAACTCTAACCCTTTCCCCTGAAAATACACCGAATCCATTACCTTACTCAATGTTAATGTTAGCCTCAAAAACAAAGTCCTGAAGTGGTTCGGTGTGTTGTTGGTGTAATCGGTTCGGAATAAATGCAAAAAAGTAGCTAATCTCGAATGAATATTGAAATATTATTTAAAACCTGCGTAGGCTACTTGTTGCCTGCTAACTGATGAAGCTGTTACCCCCGAAATCCCGTCGATCCCTTACCTTATCCAAAGCGTTTGCCTCAAACAAGCCAACTAACCTGCATGTTGATGAGGTTGAACATGTCGTCGGGGAGAGTAGTCACATAGTGCCCCTCGGCATCGAGCTGCACCTCCAGGTGCTGCGCCCGAAGGTTCTGCACCCACTTGATGATCTGCGCCTTGATGCGGGTGAGGTAGGCTGCGTTCAGCCCGTTGATGGCCTGCGCGAACTCTTCGCACCTGGGGGTGGTCGTCGCAAGGCACATAGCCAAGAGGAAACTCATATGTACCTGATGGCATGAAAAAGAGGAGCCAACATCGATAAAAAAAGAAGGGGACATCCTCTTCGGAATTCTGGCAATTACATTTTTCCCTCGCCTCTTCAACCACGTAAAAGAGGAGTATATCAAGAAATAAGGTAAAACCCTCCTCGCAGATTCTCGCGTTTTTTTTCTATTCTCGCCCCTACATGTACCTCCACGGCGGTACCAAAGACACGCTCGTCTCTAACGTGTGTCTCTTCACTTCGCCAGCGACCCCGCCTCACCCTTTCACCCACTCTCCCCGTGTATCAATCGACCCTGAGGGGGTGATGTCAAGCTCAACCTCACGTACCCCCCGTGCGCTAACCGACCCTGGTGCTCAACAGTGACAATCTACGTAGCACCGACCGCTGGCCTCACTGTTCGACGTCCGCATTGTTACACCCAGTCTCTCTTACCCTCCAAGCATCCCCGCAATCGACCCTGGTGTTGTAGTACTAGAAGTTGGGTGCTCTGTCTACGCGAAAACTTCCCCATTCCCTACCGCCCCCGCCCCCCCCAAAAAAAAGGCTTACCGTTCGACCTTGGTGTTGTAGTATTCCAGCCACTTGATCGCCTCCAAGATATCTCTCACGTCGCAGTCCGCCATCTTGTCCTCGCCGCACACCAGCGGAAGCAGCAGGTCCTTCAGGAAGCCCTCGTAGGAGTCTCGGAACACCCGCAAGATGTCGTACTCCCGGGGAAAGCAGGGAACCACCTGTAGGACATGCGTCAGCAGGAGCGATGGGCGGCGTATTTTGATTAGTCGGCGCGAGCCATATCAGGATTTGGCTGTCATTCCAACACAGTTAACGTCAGACGAAACGGAGAGA